AAGGAAGGAAGGAAGGAAGGAAGGAAGGAAGGAAGGAAAGAAAGAAAGAAAGAAAGAAGGAAAGAAGGAAAGAAGAAAGGATAAGATGGAAGGGAGGGAAGGAAGGAAGATCAGAGGAAAGAAGAATAGAAAAATAAATTGGAAAGGGAAGAAAGGAAGGAGGGAGGGAGGAAAGAAAGGAAGGAATTTCGAACCTGCAAGTCTGAGAATAAGGAAGTAAAAATAAGTCCGACTAAATCAAAAGCCATCTGTCGAAGAAGAGGTGGGAAAACAATTTTTTTTTCAAATTTGACACTTTGCTTTGCTGTTCTACCTGTCTTACAGCTTCCTACTTAAAATGTCTTTGCTATTGTTGTTGTTACCATTACAGATATTTTCCCATGAAGGATTTTTATTTTATTTTATTTTTGCCCCTGGATAAATGATCCGCCTGCAGGGCCCGGAAAGCTATACCCCCGCATCCCCCCTCCACGTCCTTATTCCAGAAGAATCCAACTCTGTTTTCCTCCATTCCCTTCTCCCTTCCGTTTCTCAAAGCCCAGCCAGCCGCCCAAGACCCGGCCTGGGAATTTAGTTGTTTAAAATGACACCAGTTCGTTGGCCAGGTAGAGTTAAAGTGGCTCCTTTCCACTCTTTAAGGTGGGGGGCGGGGAGACAGGGAAGACGTCCTGGCTACGGAGCGATTCCCGGGATCCTCCTGCTTGAAACGAAACGATTCTTACGCGTTTCATTACTGTGTTACTTATAATAACATAGCCAATAACAAACCATAACTGGAAACCGAATTATGCTTAGGTGATTAACTATCTCTCTGATTTGGACCGAACCGGCCGCGTAAAGTTTTCTCCCTCTTCCATTTCTCTTAAAGAGGCAAGGACGTGCGAAACCCACACACCCCCCGGTGTTTCTGCCATCCAGGGCCCACGCCAGGGAGGCAGGGGAAGGGGGTGAAATCTCGCCCCGCAGCGCTTCCCCATAGACCCGGAGCAGACAGGCGCCCCCCTTGGGAAGGTTGTCCCGAGATACACACCCCGCCCTCTTGTTGTGACAGTAGCAGAAGGTCGGGTTGGGTTTCTGCCCCCTTGGCAGGAATGAAAAAAGGGGGGAGGGGTGCGAACCCTGGAAAAGCCGCGGAGGGCGGCGGGGAGAGAAAGAGGCTGCAGAACGGCCTGCTTGGGCGAAGCTTGGCTGGGGCATCTCAGGGGTGGGGGGAAGAAATAATAATCCAGGTATCTTTCCTTTTCTTCACCCCCCGTCCCAATTTAAACCCCATAAAAGGGTAGTAGCCAAAGCAGATTAAAACCAGATGGAGCGGAGAAAGTCCATGCCGATCGCAGAATGTAATCTCCTTTGATTCTAGCAGATATCCATTACCCAGTAGGATCGCGTCCTGTTCTCTCTCTGTGTGTTTCTCTGTTTCTGTCTCTCTCTTTCTCTCTCCTCCCTCCCTCTTTCCCTTTTGCAGGAGAGGCGGCTCTGACAACTGTCACCAATATACCAGTTAACTTTTCCTTTCCTTCCTTCCTTCCTCTTTTTCTTTTCTTTCTTTTTCTTTCATTATTTCATTCCTTATTTCATTCATTTTTTCTTTCTCTTTCCCTCCCTCCTCTCTTTTCCTCTCTCCCCCTCCTGCACTTTGCTGCTCTGACATCTGTCTAACCAATATGCCAGTTAACTTCTTTCTTTCTTTCTTTCTTTCTTTCTTTCTTTCTTTCTNGGTGGTGGGTGCAGAGTGTTCCGACGTGCATGGACAAAAATAAAGTGACGGTATGGGGAGTCTCTGAAAAGCTAACCAGGCGCCGTCGTGAATTTATTCTTTCTTTCTTTCTTTCTTTCTTTCTTTCTTTCTTTCTTTCTTTCTTTTTTTTCTTTCTTTCTTTCTTTTTTCTTTTTCTTTCTTACTCTTTCTTTCTTCTTTCTTTTTCTTTCTTTCTTTCTTTCTTTTTCTTTTTCTTTCTCTTTCTCTCTCTCTCTTTCTCATTTCCTCTCTCTCTGTTTGTCTCTCTCTTTTATTCCTCTTTCTTTCGCTCTCTCTTTCTTTCTCTCCTTCCCGTCTCCGAATTACCAAAAAAAAAAAAAAAACCCTCTTCGCCTCCCCTTCCCTTTTTTTATCCCAATCCGAAAGAGTCGGGCGCTCGCTTTCTCGTATTCAGCAAACCCGTTTCGCCTACGAGTTCCCCTCGTACACTTTACTCCCAAATAAACAGGCTGCTGCAACCGGGAACTGTTTGGGCTTCCGCTGGAGGGGTAGCAGGCAGCAATTCCCGCCTTAGGCTCTCCCCTAAGGGCAGAATTGCCCCGATTGGAGCCGAAGCAGGTTCGGACGCAACCTGTCTTGGGGTAAAATAAGGCGGCGGGCCGGAGACTTCGTAGGGAAGGGCCCGGAGCCTCCAGGCGGCCCGCTAGCCTTCCCTCTGCTCTCGGCCTTCTTTCTCTCTTTCCCGGCGGCTTCCCTTCGGCCAGAGCCGCTTTTTCAAGCCCCCAACCAAAGCTCCCAGCTCTCGGCGTCCTCCCTGCCTCCCCTCCGCTCATGACCTCGGGGTCTCTCCAAGCCCAAGCCCCTTGCCCGCTCCTGTCTCCTTCCAGCCAGCGCCGAGGAAGGAAAGGAGGAAGGAAAGTCGGGGGTGCGCGGGGAGCGGCGCTTACCACGTAGGAAGAGAAGGCAGCCGCGGCCGCCGCCGCCGCCGGGTCTGTGCCGTACTGGAGGTGCGAGTTATAGCCGGGCGAAGGAGCGCTGAAGGCGGTGGAGCCGGCGTAAGGGGAAAAAGCCGAGCCGGACGACGATCTGCCCAGTTCATCCGTCCGCGGGCCGGAGATCACGCTGGTGCTGTAGGCAGGGCAGGAGTAGAGGGCCAAGGACGCGGACGGCTGGTACAAGTAACCCTGAGGATACGACATGGCCGGAAGCTGCTGGCAGAGCTCCGCCAGCCAGCCAGCCAGCTCCAGCCAGCCGCGCAAGCAGCTGCTGCTGCAGCCGCCGCCGCCGCCGCCAAGCTTAGCGCCGGTCCGGGCTTGGGGTTTTGGCACTCGGGATCCTGGCTTCTCTCTCCGGAGCGCGTCGTCGGAGGTTTGCCGCGGCGGGCGGCTCTCCCAACAGCGGGCGGACGGGCGGAAAGCCCCTCTTCGCCGCCTCCCCTCCGCAGCGGCTCTGGCTGGAGTCTCCGGCGCGCGGCACCTTTCGCCCCCCCCTCCCTTCTTCTTCGTCCTCCTCCTCCTCTTCCTCCTCCTCCTCCTCCTCTTTGCAGGCGTCTTCTTCTCGGTTCCCGCTCCCCCGCCCTTCCTCCCTCCTTCCCTCCCTCCGCCGGACAAGGAAAGGGCGCTTGTTCTCTGCTTTGACTCCCGGATCGCTCGTTCTCTCGCCTGCCTTCTTGACCGCCCGCCGCCCCCCTTCCCTGTGCGCGCTCCGCCAAAGGTCCTGCCAAGACGCGAAGTTGGGAATTGAGGATTCTGACGCCTCCGACGCAACGCGCCCAACTCCGCCTACCGCGGAGGGGGGAGATGTTGGCGGAGCGAGTGACTGGGGGGGGGGTGGTGGAGGAAAGAGGGAGGCGAGAAGCTGGGAGTGGACGGGTTGAGGGGGGGGAAGAAGGGAGAGAGAAGTAAAAGTTAAAGAAACCCGAAGAGCTGGTTGGAGCTGCGGCTGGCCAACCCCCCCTTCTCTCTCTCCCTCCCTCCCTGTCTCCCTCTCTCCCTCTCGTTCGCTCACTCGCTCTCTCTCCCTTCCCCTCTCCTCTTCTCCCGCCCCCCTCTTCTCCTGCCGGCTCAATTGCGCCGGCCTCTGGCAATCAACAGCCAAGCTGTTTAGCAAAGATCACCTCCAACTTTCTTCATTTGCTAAATACACCATCAGCGCAATTTCTCTCTTGATTTATGGGAACGAGCATGCCGGCTGGGTCCCCGCTCGCTCGCTCGCTCGCTCGTTCTCCCGCTGGCGGGCCTGCACTGGAATGCGAAGGCGTTCGCTTGATGAAATAGACAGGAAGGAAGGAAGGAAGGAAGGAAGGAAGGAAAGAAAGAAAGAAAGAAGGAAAGAAGGAAAGAAGGAAAGAAGGAAAGAAGGAAAGAAG